TTATTACTACTTTCCCCAAACAATTTAGTTTTTAAGATTAGCAACATATTATAACTGAAACTTCTTCAAAGCAACTATTTAACTCTTTGCCAGACCTTTTACCAAGATTCCTAAAAGTACAAAGGTAATTGAGAGTAAATTCCATATCTGCAAATTTTTTAAAATTTACTACACTGTTTTCACTAGAAAATATTTTAACTGGCAAATGGTTTGAATTGACATGGTCCAGAAATCAAAGGAAAAGGGGGAGAAGAGAAGCGACCATTTGCTTTCTTTAGAAATCTACCCACAAAGTTTTGGATCAGTTACTAAAATACGGTATATTTTATATAACTACTTGTTCCGTACTTGTTATCTAACTACTTGTATCATATAACTACTTGTTCAGTCCTCAGATTCAGACATTAAGGTTATCTTTTCTTATGATTCTGTACTTCGGTTATCAAACACCGTAGAAAAACAGAGCCGAGAAACACACGTCCACACATTTTCTTTGACAGCTGAAGGAAAACATCTATTAAGTTTATCAAATTAATCTTCCCAAGTCACACAAGGAAAGCACATTACATGTGGACTGAAAAGACAGTGTCATGGTTAAGAACATGTACTCTGGAACTTGGCTACTTTAGCTTGAACTCCACCCCACCACTTATTAGCTGTGAGATCTTGGGCAAGTTTGTCACACAAAGTTACTTAACCTCTTTGTGCCTTGGTTTCCTCATCTGTGAAACAAGAATGAAACCTACCTCACAGGGCTGCAATGAGGATTAAGTCAATTAATATACATAAAGCACTTAGTGTGGTGTATAACACAGAATAAGTGCTATATGTTAGCTATTATTAAGAAATAAAGATCTGCCTACATTACAAATTGCTGTTACCAACAGGTTGTGGTTAAAAGGTCATTTTTATTGAGCCAGTTGCTTAGAACTCTCAATCTGTATCCCTGGAAATCCAATGCTGGTTAGAGTTGTCACAATTCCTCAGAAACTTACTGAACACAGCGTGACTAAACTACAGCTTCCCACTATTTCTATGGAATAATGTATCAAAAGTTCCAACTGGGAAAAAACCTTATTTTTCCGACAACATTCTCAGGTTCTAGAAGTGACTAGAAATGACTACTCAGTAGCTAACAAATTGACTTTTCTCTTTCTTCATCAGACACCAATAGGAACTTCTAAACGAGCACTAGTGATTTTGACAGTAGGCAGAGCATCGAGAAGAGTAGCTGAGGGTTGTGGATCACAAAAAGCCAAGGACTGATAATCACAAGACAGCTGTGTGAACTTCCGAGCAGAGAGAGGAAAAGGTGGACACGTGTGTGCATGGATACACCTGCACGCAACACATTCATGGGGGATTAACTTTGTCTAGCTCTTCATAACTGACAAACTGTCACTTATTTCCATTATGACAACTAAAAATCAAAATCACTGTAGGATATATTCTTAATTTCCATTTTTCAGCTAGACTTAGAAATTTCAGTCTTCAGGGTCACACAGATATTAAAATTACACCATAATCCATGCTTACGTCCCCATCTCAAAAAAGTCTCTATGACAAAAATGGGGCAACTCACAGGTACCAGAGGATAAGGTAATTTCCAGTATCAGAGAGAAAGCCAAGCCGAAATTATCATTGCTAGAACAACTATGTCACAGGTTCCTTGTTACGTCCAGGCCTACTGGTACTTCTACTATATTCTTAACCTTATATAAATCGAATAGAATATTTTACAAAAAAAATTTTTTTCCTAAAATTTTCTATCCAAATTGGATTAAGCTTACGTAATTCCTTTTACATTTTATTCTCTGCAACTTCAATGTACAAACTTTGTCTGTTTCTAAATGAGATTTCTCTAAGTCAAATAATTATGCATAATATTAATTCAAAGCATACAATTAAGTGAAATTTGGAATATAAACACCCGTACCTAATTCATTTGGTTTACGAATGAACTCTGATATACTGGGTTCTTTCATTAAAGCAAAAACACACATATTAATTTGCAAGGTCTGCTTGTTAGTCAACAATCTTTACTTAACAAAAAACACTGAATTCTATAATAACATACTTGTCAATATGTATTTAAGCCTTATTTACTTTTAGTAAATAAACTCTTTACAATCTAAGGCATGTTTCTAAAGGATAAAAAAGGAAACATTAGATCAGCTGACCAAGCTGATTCCACTTACAAAATTAACTTTTAATTTATTAAAAAAATCCACAAGATACAATGTAAAAACAAGTAAAATTATACATCTTCAGTTTAACTAAAGGAACCAAAATTAATCTCTTACCTGGAAAAGAACTGCAAGTCAAAAAACAGCCCAATAATAAAGAACGTAGAATGAAGACACAGCTACGAAGAAACAAGACCCACTGAAGGCAAATGGCCTGGGGAAAGTGCTCTATCTTCATCAACTAACATTAACTCTAACTTGACCTAGCCACAACTCAAATGCCGAGAGAATAACAGGAGAGTACTGTTTATCCCAATGTTCAAAGTTTTGCCATATTACCTGTAAAGACGTAAAATGCTTCCTTTAATTTGTCCTGTCAAGCTTCTCAACAAATTTAGTATTTGTAAGCCACATCTTAATGTAACTAAACTCATACACACACACTTGAGAAAAATCACACAATAATATCAAACTGAAAACGACTGATATTTTATGTAATTTTCATAGATTAAAAATTCCCCATGGGCCAGTCAGGGCTAAGTGGTTAAGTTCGTGCGCTCTGCTTCGGCAGTCCAGGGTTTCGCCGGTTCAAATCCTGGGCGCGGACATGGCATCGCTGATCAGGCCATGATGAGGTGGCGTCCCACATGCCACAAGCAGAAGGACCCACAACTAAAAATATACAGCTATGTACCAGGGGGGGTTGGGGAGAAGAAAGAAAAATACAAATCTTAAAAAAAAAAAATCTCGGCGCAGCAGTTAAGTGCGCACTTTCTGCTTCAGAGGCCCGGGGTTTGCTGGTTCAGATCCCAGGTGGGGACACGGCACTGCTTGTCAAGCCATGCTGTGGTAGGCGTCCCACATATAAAGTAGAGGAAGACGGGCACGATGTTAGCTCAGAGCCAGTCTTCCTCAGCAAAAAGAGGAGGATTGGCAGATGTTAGCTGAGGGCTAATCTTCCTCAAAAAAAAAAAATTTAAAATTGTCAAAAAGAATCTAAATTACTAACTTGTGGACAAGGCTGCATTAAAAATTTGCATTTTCACTAAAAATAAACACTCCAATACTATTTTACATACATTCTCAAACTACTACAGTTTAATCTGGCGTTCCATGTTCACACACTTTAGGTTTTTAAGTTTCCTACTCCCCAAGTTTAAATGCAGTCTCCAAACCTCTGGGTCAGCACTAGAACAAATTCTACACTGTATCAGTGACCACATCAATGGGAATTAAGCTCTTTAAGAACCACTTCTTGCATAACTTTGTATCCTAAGGAACGCTTGGTTAAACTCCTAAACATCAGGGGCTATAAATATTTACCAACTCAAACTAATCCTTCAACTCTCTGTAGTTCTGTGTTGTTGAAACAAAACTGCACAGCTTTGCAAAATCCAAAGGACCTAAATGTCACTGAAACTTCACAGAGTACATTACTGTTTTACGAATTCAGGTCGGAGCCTTGCCCCATTACCAGCTGCAATGCTTTTTAGTGACACTGGTACAGAGGGTAGGAGAGCAGATCCAGTCAAGTGGACAACACCCTAACAGGGTTTTGAGTTAAAATTTTACATATTTATCCTACGTCTTTATCTATGTAACATTAATGTTCTCAAGTCAGTTAATTGCACCAGCAACTTAAGAGAGAGTTTTGCAGTCAACCTAATTTATAGGAACATAAATAAAAACTGGTACCGATAAAAGAACAAGTAACCAAGTAGAAAAGCTGCCTTAAATGCTGACAACAAGGTAAGCATAGTTTACATCAATGTAACGAAAAATAACTTTTTTGTATTCTGTAGGCCTTTCCATGACTACTTTCTGAAACAGTACAAAAGTCTTTAAAAAGCCAAAGCAAGGGGCTAAGTGGTTAAGTCCGTGCGCTCGGCTTCGGCGGCCTAGGGTTTTGCCGATTCCGGATCCTGGGCGCAGACAAGGCACCGCTGGTCAAGCCATGCTGAGGCGGCGTCCCACATGCCGCAACTAGAAGGACCCGCAACTAGAATACACTACTACGTACTGGGGGCTTTGGGGAGAAAAAAAAGCAGGAAAAAAAAAGTCAAAGCAAACTGGTAAGCAAGCCATTATCAAAGTCAGAAACTACCACTACAGATACACAAAATATCGGGGAACCAGGGTCTAGAACCGGTTCCAGAATGTCAAAGGTTCTCTGGTTATTAATACAGTCCATTATGCCTCTAATACAATGTCACTTAGATGTGACATTCCTAAAACGGCAACACAGGCCTAGAAGTTTCAGTGCCGGTGCTGGCAAACTCAAACTATGACAAAGATACTCTCTCCCTTGGGCGGTTAACTACCAACTTTCTGCTCCAGGATCAGCTTGTTTCAACTAAGTTTAAGACAGAGCCTAAACTGAGGACAGCAGATAGAAGAGAGAAAGAGAAAATAATCCAAGGGAAGATTAATTTTAAAAGTGAAGTTCCTGTTTCCAGTAAACCGTGCCTTAGATGTCTTTCAGACGATAAAGACTCGGAAGAACAGCTGGATGGCGACCCGTCCGCATCCTGAGGCGTGCGCACTGCGCGGAAAGGATGAATGAATGGAGGCGGCGCGGGTGAGACGCAGCAGGTCCGGCCGGCAACCAGACCCGCGGCAGCGATCAGTAGGCCTCGCTCCTCCCCCTTCCCTCCTCCATGACAGCCCAGTCTCCAGCATGGAGGGGCGAGGACAATGTGATCCCCCTGCTCACCACCACCACCACCCTGCATCCTACTCAGGAAGCTTCACCGCGTGACACGCGGCTCTCCTCCCTACCCCAAACCTCCCTCGCCTCGCGGGCGGCTGGAGTACCATGCGCTCGCCCCTCAGCTCCCCCGGCGAGGTCGAAGCTCCGCGCGTGCCGCGACGCCGCTCCCGCCCAGCCCACCCTCCGGCGACGCGCGCCACCCGCTCCCTGCACGCCGGTCTGACGAAGACCCGCGCGCGCCCCACGCCCGAGCCGCCGGGCTGGAGCGCGGGCGGGAAGGAGGGCTGGGCAGCCGGGGGCTCCCTCCTGCACCTCCTTCCAGGCCGGCTCGCCACCCACCCTCCCTGCGGATCCCGGCGCCCGCTCGGAGCCGACCCTGCGCCCTGGCGTCCCGAAGGCGCAGTCCCCGCACACCGAGCCCGGGGCCCCGGGCCCCGCCACCCCGGGAGACACCCCGCGGCCGGCGGGAGGCCGCGCCGCCCCTCCCCCACGTCTCCCCCCAGCGCCCAGCCCCGCCAGAACGTGTGCGCTCCACGCCGCGCCGCCAGCCTCCGGGGCGCCCCCGGTCGCCGCGGGGAGGTCAGGCCCAAGAAGAGGGGGAGGGGGCGGCAAGGGGCAGTGTGCGCGCCAGGAACGCCGTCCCGCGGGGTCCCCCAGCCCGAAGGGAGCCGGAGCGCGGGGGCCGGTGGGGGTGGGGGCCGAAGGCAGTACTCACCGGTTCCACAGTCGCCATCTTAGATCGATCTGATCGCACAACCGCTCCTGAAGGGGGGGGTGAGAGGAAAAAAATGAGATTCAAACCGGATTGGCCGGCTGCTGTCCACGTGACGGACGTGTCCGTTTGGCCCTGGCGGCGCCTGCGCAAGACTGCGGCTGCGTGAGTGACGAGAGGCTTCTGGGAAGTGGAGTCTCTCTCTCTCTCTTTTTTTTTCCAGGGCAAAGAAGTTAAAAAAAAAAAAAAAAGGCCAGGTCACGTGGCTGATGGGTAGGGTGCGCGGTTCCCGGCGCGGCGACGCTCACGTGCTGCAGGGTGGTTTTCAGTCCTCTGCGCTTCCACCTGGGTAGCTGCTGTCGCACTTACTGCCAGGCATGCCTATTGTGCCCTTTGTCGCCCTGGCCTCCCATCTTCCCCGGAAGGTTGGGTCCTGCAGGCTCAGCACGCACAGTAAGGCTTCATTTGCTTAGTTGCGGTCCCAGGACAAGTTTGGCTGTGTGTTTATTTAATTTTCTTTTGACTTCGCACCATTTTCTCTTAGTTTCAGAAGGAGGCGGCGATGGAGAGTCGTCGTTTAAGCGGTCGGCCCTCCCCCGTCCCCGGCTCCGCTAGCGCCGGCGGTCGCTGGTTGCCATCGCTGCGAAACGGGATGGCGGAACCGCCCACAGGACCCACTTGCCACAGGCTGGGGGAGGGGGAGTGCACCCGACTGCCTTTCCAGTCCCAGATCCTGAGATGAAGACCTCGGGGCGTGGAAGTAAAATTGCTTGGAAGTTCTGTGCTCTCGGTGCCACTATTCTGCTTTAACGTGAACGGAAACAGCCTAAGTCCAGGTGCCAGCCAGGGAGGCCACTCCGGGCCCCGCTGACTAAGCCCTGGACTGACCGTCAGGAGTCGTTAGGCCGGGTCAACTGTGACTCGGGACGTTGACTCATTCTCCCTAGGCGAGTGACTTAAGCATTCAGTGTCTCAGCTTTCTCATTTATGAAGCGCTCATGATACACTTACCTCACAAGGGTGTGCTGTGGTAATGGTTGCATCCGGCTTTGACAATGCATCGGACTCTATAAATGCTTTATAATAAGCAACCTGGTGCCTTCCTAAGGATCAGCTGCTTCCCCTGATGTTTTTTCAAACGATGTTTAAATTTTTCTTTTGTTTACTTTGTTACAATTATGATGTACACCAACGCAATTTTAAAGTTTCAAGACAATTTTTTTCTTTATAACTGTAGGTACCCTCAGCAGAAGCTTTAATGTTCACGAAAATATTGTTATATTCACCACAATCATTGGCAATTAGAAATTTATCCCCACACTGGCATCCTACATTTCCTTTCCCTCTAAGACAGTGTTATCTTTTCTCAAGACAGTGTTATGCTGCACAGTGTGGTTGTTAAGACAACAAATAGAGATAAATCTGGTAGAATACTACTATAAGGTTCTAATGAGGGAGACATTAGACCACTACTATTTTCCATGTTTCTTAAGAATGTTAACACCAGAAAAATCAGTATAAGCAGAGTGCCTGTGCCTGCCTGCTTATAGTGTTGCTGATGTCCAGAGCTGTGTCATACCTATTGTTGAGTACATAATGGTGGCTTGAGTTGACTAACATCACTGAAGCTGTATAAGAACTCAAAACCATGGCCTGTTCCTATGTTGTGGTTTACCTGGGTATCAGAGGTGATTAATGAAAGCTTTTGTCCAGTCAGCTTAGCTCTAGTAGGTTTAAAGTAGATGGAATTAAAACGAACATAGACAGATAAATGGATTTCTACTTCCAGAGACTATCTGTTGCTTAGACTACCCAAAGTAGCTACAGTTGATCTCAGTGGTATTTCCTGTTGGTTAAAAGTAGTATCTGGTTATCTTCTTGGAGGTGATAGCGTAGATGTACTCTTTTCAGGATGCTGCTAGATAACACAGCAAAGAATTAAGGAGATTTCGCTCCCCATATAGGACTGAAAGCCAGTGATGTTCTTAAAACTTTTTTTAATGATAGCCTCCATTTTATTAACTTTTCTCTTGATCAAAAAACTCCCCACTTTTGTCAGCCATACTAGTACTTCTACAATACTTATGTATGTTCCTATGCCTTATAGCTTGATTTCTTTCCATTTTGCATAGACTTTGTTGCATGTGTTTTATGGCACGTTCATGTGTTTGCCTAATATCACTATTAGATTCTACTTTGTCAAAGATTTGGTGATTAGATTTTTATGTGTGTATGTGGTTGTTTTGTTTTTGCTAATCTGAAATATACAGAGCAGAAATTTTATACTTTATTAATCCAGAAAAAATTACATTGTTACCTTGCTACCACATTCCTGCTTATTCTTAAAGAAAGGGTAATAAAAAGATACATGAAATGGGATATAGTATTAAAATACTATTCTACTTGATCCAGTTATCTGGTTAATACATAACTAATGGCCCAGCATAGCATCATTATTTATAAGCCTGGAATGATTTGTCATCATTTAGTATCTGTAGATAGTCCTGATCTTTTCTCTATGTAACATATTCCTCGAGCTGGTATATTACTAGTCTTTATAGATTTAACTGATGGTAAAACACTTTAATTTGATGGAACACCAGTTGTTTTTATCATGTATTTACCTCTTTGTTACTGGAATTATTTTAGGATTTCTAGATAAGCAGTCATTGTTTTGCTGGGAATTGTTCAAGTATGGTTCAAACTGATCACATCTGTACAATCAATCCCTCAAAAATAGCACTGCTGCCCTGTCTAGGACTTTAAAAACAGCCATGGAATTTTAGACATCCTGTTCAGATTAGATGCCTTTCTTAGTCTCTGATCAGTACAAAGTCACCATTTTTCTTATAATGAGTAGGTTTGAGAAAAAGATATGAGAGATTGCCTGATAAAGTAAATGATCTTTAGTATTGCAATTGTTGAGTATTAACTTAGATATAAACTAAACCAACCTCTAACCAACACCAACATTAGTTTTTGTTTTTAAACCTATTCACTCTCTTTTTAAACTTGGTCATACTTTACTTTATGCTCTACTTTTTAAAATTGTTATTATCACTTTCTACACTGATGTTCCTTTAGCAAAGACCTAAGACGATGACTTCTAACAGGATAAATACGGGCCGGCCCAGTGGTGCAGAGGTTAAGTTCGCACGTTCCGCTTTGGCTGCCCGGGGTTCTCTGGTTTGGATCCCAGGTGCGGACATGGCACCACTCAGCAAGCCATGCTGTGGTAGGCGTCCCACATATAAAGTAGAGGAACATGGGCATGGATCTTAGCTCAGGGCCAGTCTTCCTCAGCAAAAAGAGGAGGATTGGCAGCAGATGGTAGCTCAGAGCTAATCTTCCTCAAAAAAAAATTTTTTTAAATAATAAATAAATAAGTAAAATTTAACAGGATAAATAATCTTTTCAATTACAATTGTATAGTTCAGTATTTAAGAACATGAGCTCCGATGTCAAATTATCTTGGTTCATAATCCCAATTCTACTGTTTACTGTGTCACCTTACACAGATTAGTCTCTTTGTGCCTCACTTTTGTTGTGAGTTAGGTGGCCATAATAATAGTACTTATTATGTATAACTGGTTAGTGTGAGAAATAAATGAGTTAATCCATGTAACATGCTTCAGTAGTTTTTAGAACATGGAAAGCACTCAATGTTAACTATAATTACCATGACATAATATTATATTGACATAAATTTCTACTTTTTAGTGTAGTATAATATGCTTAAGAATTCTTTTATGCATAGAACCAACCATAGCCTTTATCTTTAAAGATATTCCAGGCCTTCAAAGTCAACTAACATTTATTGATTTCCTATAACATGCCAAGTAGTTTTCATATTGATTACTTCATTTGACCTTTGTAACACTTAAGTGAATTATACATTATCCCCATTTTATAGATAAAGAAACAGACTCAGTAAAGTTAGGGGATGTATGCAAGTCCACACAGCCAATGGTGACCTGGAATTCAAACCCAATTTTCTTGACTCAAAGATTCTTCCCTCCAAATCATGGCTGCTTTCCTCTCATAGGTTCTTCCAAGTGCCTTTTTCTCTTCAAAGGACTTCTGATACTAAGTTCATTTATAGAACTGACAAACCATCCAAGAAGTGTTGAGTTAGTAATGGGAAATGTGAATTGCTGAAGGATATTTAAAGGACATGGGAAGCCCAGGCACTTCCTTCCTGGACTGTAAAATCGGCTTGGCATCCTAAGTCATAGGAATATAAATAGTTCGGTACCCATATAAAGAAGTGTGACTAAGGACCAAAAGGATGCAGCTAACAAGCACTCATTCACGTAATGAATGAGGCAGTCACAGAGTTCCTTCCCTTGTTTCATTCACTTCTCTGTTGCAATGCTGTCTCCTGAGGGAAGGCTCCCTTGACCACCCTGTCAAAATTAGCGTGCCCACTATTCTTTATCCCCTTACCCTGCTTTATTTTTCTTCAGACCACTTCATAATCCTAGCTCTAAACCCAATATTATATTAAACATTTAATTAATTGTTGACTGTCTCCACTAGTAAAATACTAGCTTCTTGATAGGTAGGTAGATTGCTAACAAACATTTGGGAAAACCCCAAATCTAATTTTAGAAACTACACAATAACTCTAGCCTTAGGACCAATAATATAGGTAATAGGAAAATTACTATATGACAGGCGCAATGTTAAGCAGTTTACATGCATTGATAATACCTCATTTTATCTTCAAAACAACCTTCTGAGATAGATAAGGAGCCTGAGGTTGAATAACTTTCCCCAAGAATGCAGTTTCTGTTTTCAGGGCTCTTAACCACTATGTAATATTGACTACATTGTAATTGGATTGCCTAATAAGAAAGATCATTGTCTGAAATCATGAGAAAGAAATAATCTACAAAGAGTATGTGAAAAATTCATCTAAGTAGTATGTTGGGCCAACAATAAGGTTCTTCCCCAAATGAACTTAATTTACCTTTTAAAATTGAAATTAGGAACAAATTAAAATGTATGGGACAAGATCAGTAGTCTTTGGAAATAACCCACAGGTTTGTAAATACCCCAAATTCGGTTAGAGGTTTGCATGGAACTCTGAGGAGGTACAATTGGATTTTCATTACTCTGTACATGAGAAATGCCTGAATTGAACTTGTCTAAAGAAAGAAATATGTTAAATGACTGGGAGTTGGTCTGGGGACATCTGTAAAAGAGGGATCTAAAATGACAATATTTGATGATCTATCTCTAGCATTTTTCCAGGGACAGGGTGCCCTGGCACAAAAATATGGATCTCTGGCTTGTTGGTCCTTTTTGGGAATGATTTCTTGAGGACGCCAACCATACAGTGAATCCATCTTGTTTTGACCCCAGGTTCATGAAACAGCCGTGTGATAAATGTATCTTCCCGTAATATTTGTATGCAGGGCTGATATGGAAACATCAGCCTCCAGACCACAATAGTTATGTTGCTCAGAGTCCATTTTTTTGGAAGAAGAAGAATATTAGCCCTGAGCTAACATCTGCTGCCAATCCTCCTCTTTTTGCTGAGAAAGACTGGCCCTGAGCTAAGATCCGTACCCATCTTCCTCTACTTTATATGTGGGACACCTGCCATAGCATGGCTTGCCAAGCGGTGCCATGCCCGCACCCAGGATCGAAACCAGTGAACCCCAGGCAGTCAAAGTGGAACGTGCAAACTTAACCGCTGCGCCACCAGGCCGGCCCCTCCATTTTTTAAATGGTACTAACTTTTTTAGTTTGTTATAATTATGCTGTATGAGCTTGGCTAAGGGAAAGCTACTCTTGTGGACTGGATTTTCTGTGTCTTCAGACTGTGATGATTCTCCGAGGAAATGCCGACCTATAGAATTGCCTGGGTGGCTAATTGGCCTTCCCCGACACTTGCCATGTGCCTTTCTACTCTAGCTGCATCTTTGGAGACCTGTGATTCACCTGCCTGTTCACTCTTACTCTCAATTCAGAGTTTGACAGACACCAATTCTCATTCAGGAATTGTTTAAAAACATGAGATGTACTAAAAATGATCAAATATGACCTTATGTGTTTTGAGGAGCTAATGGAAAACCATGGTTATTGTATTTTAAAAATAAATAATAAAATAATGATAATGATACTCCAAGAGAGCCATTTATATCTTTTGAAAAAAATGAGAAATCGCTGTTAAAGACTTGCTGTTTGGGGAGAACTTTTGTCATCTCTATGGATGCATTTAGTACAAATTGACCAACGGCATTTAGAGCTCTGAAATGGAAAGTTAGGAAACAAGCATGCATATTTATCATATCAGTACCTTATATTATCAAGTTTTAAGAAGGGAGAAAGGGTTTGATCCAGATATGTGTATTAGCAGACTGGTACTATTTATTTTATTATTATTTACTTATTTTTTTGTATTATTTATTATTTAAACTGAGTTCTGATAAATGAGAAAATACCATGCTGGGCAGACTTATGAAACAAACTGTTAGTTCAATTGCCAGGCAGTTTATGGAAATGGCACCTTAAAAAAAAAAAAACCTGACCTTGCTTAAAAGTCCTTATATGCTTTTAATCTTTATATGCTTTTTCCCCTGAAGGTCAAGAGTATTTATTCAGATGAGAGTTAAATGTGATAACTACTTCATTTACAATAAAATAAGATGGCAAGATGAGTAAACAGGATCTTATCTCTTTACTAGAGCTTAATTTTTACATTCTGAAAGAGGTTTTTGGAAATATATAGGAAAATATCAGCATTGTTAAAATTGAAAAACCAAAGTGAAGTTACTGTGTTTTGTTCATTACAAAAAAAAAGATTAGCTAAATGTAATTAGTACTTGAAAGGCAAAGTGATCAACAGTTCTTGACTGAAAATATTTGAGTGAAAGCATTTAAATATTTTAGCTTTTTACTTTGTTTTTGTCTTAAAAAGGAACATTGGGCCAGCCTGGTGGCATAGTTCATATGCTCCACTTCAGCAGCCCAGGGTTCACACATTTGGATCCTAGGGGCAGACCTACGCACCACTCATCAAGCCATGCTGTGGTGGCATCCCACATACAAAATAGAGGAAGATTGCCACAGATGTTAGCTCAAGGCCAAAAAAGAAAGAAAAGAATGTCAAGAGGCCAGTCCTGTGGTATGGTGGTTAAACTCGGTGCACTCTGCTTCAGTGGCCCAGGTTCCCGGGTTCAGATCCCATGTGCAGACCTACACTACTTGTCAGCCATGCTGTGGCAGCAACATGTGGAGGAAGATTGGCACAGTTGTTAGCTCAGGGCTAATCTTCATCAGCAAAAAAAGAGAGTGTCACATTGTATGTCAACTATATCACAGTAAAGCTGCCTTTAAAAAAAAAAAGCTGAAAAAGAACATGTTAAATA